TTGCATTTTAAACTCAAAAGATTCCTAAGACTGAATCCCCACTAGCTAGGCATAACTTGTGTAACGTATTCTCAGTAAATTTGGAGTCAAGTAAAAGAATATTTTGTGTTACTCCTCTGAGTTCTTTACTGGATTGGTTTCAGAATTATAAATTACTAGATCATTCACGATTAACCCAAACTATGTTAGTATATAAACATCTGCCTCATGACATGTACATACTACCGAGAAGACGTTGCCTTTATGAATGTACGACCGAGAAAACAAACTATGTTAAAATATACACATCTATTTTAGTATGGCCATGTACCAATCAAACATGTCAATTAAACGTTCATTTACTGATATTTTGTTTGTTAATAATCCTGCAAACACTAGCAGAGTCATGAAGTATATCAGATCTACTCACCGTTTGTGCAACTGAACGTAATCCAAAATGTTGAGATGATTTAGGAAAACAGATATGCGAAAGAATAAGCACTTATTTTTGAATCCTTATTAAACATATAAAAACAAAACAAAATTTTTAAAGAAGTTACTATGCATCAAGTTCGAGTAGGAGATTATTTGGAGAAACCGCTCTAAGCAATTTACAGAAAAGATATAATCCAAGATTAAAGAGTACAAAATATCAATTAATTTCACAAATTATAGAGTTTGACTTTTCAAGATTATGGGCGAAACGTGTTAGTTTTGAGGAATCTTACAGATATATAACAAAAATTTAATCTTCAAAAGTTCGAAGCCAACTTGCTTTTGACACTCTTCCAATGTTCATAGAAAGGCCAGTTTTCAAAAAGTTCAGTGCAATTGGTGAACTTAATTCTAAATAGTACGGATGAGCACATTCAATCCACAATCAATCTTTCAACCATTTTGAATATGATTGTTGAGTTGGCATCCATGTTATATTTCCCCCATTCTTTTTTCTTAACAAATCTTCAATATATGAACATTTCATATCCCGACATAAAATTCTACATTATTATGTGATGAAGTGGAATAATAGAAAAATAAACCATGTGATGACAATTTACAAGTTCATGAGTTCTCTAAATATTCAAGATTGAATCGAAATAGAGTGGAAGAAATGGCCAAGTTGTTTGATGCTTCTAATAACAACCAACAAGCCCTAGTTTTGCTTTTGGGTGGCCATATCACATCCAGGTTTCTCATAAGTGTACCATATTTCAAATGTATTAAAAATTATACATCGTTACGTGTTGTCATATATATTTATGTCCCCAATTTTTTTATTGACATTCTTATCTTCATATGTGTTAATTAATTGAATGTTGAAGTTAAGAATGTGATAAATTGAAGACACAAGTGTGACATAAATAAATGTTCACAAACCTTTAATACAATTGAAATGTGATGTGAATATAAATAAGGCGGTTATATTTACACCATATTTCTTATAAATGCACCACATTTAAATTTCATTAAGCTTACCAAATCTTTGTCATTGTCACATATAAGTACCCAACCTTTTTTTCCATCACATTGTTATCACTAATCTTCCTTAGTTAGCATATCTGGTCTCTAGTGGCGGTTTTCGTTCAAAATTTATGCTACCCTGCTTTAAAATATGGGTCATATATTTAGTAACGATTTTATATTCATTGATTTTTCTTTTTCCTAGTATAAATATACGAGGGATAAATAAGTTTTTTTATCCCCACTAAGCGTAACTTTTAAATGAAAATCATCATCAGTGACAACCAATGCTAATTAATGAAAGGTCAATGTTAAAAATGCTATAAAAAAATAGGAAAATAAGAATAATAATAAATATGTTATAAAACTAAAGGAATAAGAGAGAAATATAAGAGAAGAATAGAAAGAGCCAATAGACTTGTGTGTAACTTTATCAAAACAACGGACCTATATTTACAAGTTCGAAATGAGAGTTACAATTTGAATATATTAAATTCTTTCAGAATAGATAGGACTAATCTGAGAATTAATTAGTCTAAATAGATATTAATAATTATCTCATAATTTATCAATACTCCCCATTTGTTAACTATTTGCACAATAACTAACTCACTAAACAACCTAGATCAATAAAAAACCAATGGAATAAAAATATCAAAGGAAGGAAAAACAAATAATACTAATAATTATAATAAAAATTTTCTAATAAAATACCATCTTGTTAAAACCTTGTTAGCAGAAATATGAAAAAATTGATCATAGAAAAAAGAGTGCAGGTATCCCTGATTTCAATTAATAATATAGTATCGAGTCATCCTTGTCATTTGCAATTCTGGTCAGTCTGTGTTTCGTGTTGTCTTGTTATAAATTTCAAGCTTTCTTACGAAACATTTAACCTATGTTTGGTGGCCATTATTTTCAAAAACTAATATTTTGATTAGTGATTTTTAGGAAAATAAGCTATTAAAAAGTAGGAAATTTTTTATTTTATTTACATATGTAATATTTTATTGCATAAAGGTGTGGTCGAAAATGAATATGTAAAAAAAAAAAAGAGAGAGATTTAAAAATAATAGTTTCCAAACATGGGCTTACTTTGTTTGACTTTAGCCACTATGATGTACCATTGAAAGTAGATTTTTTTATTTTTTTTTTGGTTATTTTCTTCTAAATTTTTACACAATTTGAAACATATAAAAAATAAAAAATAAAACTATTTTAAGGGTAATGTCTTATAGGTTATTAACATTTATTATACAAAGAATATGCCTCCTTAAAATCTGTCTAGGAAAAATTTTATTCATAAAATCCTAATGAATAAAAAATAGTATATTATTCTTTTGAGTGTGCTACAAAAGTTGTCTCATTAAAAATCTTGCCACGAAAACTCAATGCAACAAAATCTTGATCAAGAAAAGGGTACAATGCGTGATTGCTTCATCATATTAAATCCTTCAAGGATAACATTAATAATTATGTCAAACGAATTGGCTATAATTACCATTTAAGTATCGTCATGATAACAAGATATGAACTTTGTGATTGTATCTACCACGGTCTTTGCAAACTTATTATGTTGAGAGCGTGCATTACATATTACAACTTCATTTTTCTTATTTACTTTTCGCACAAATATACACATTTAGGTGTTTGAACTATAGGTTCAAAAACTTGAGGTTTTTCTAATAAGTTCATTTTGATAGGATTGCATCCTTTTATTTGACCAATCATTACTTAGATCAATATGAATTGACGAATTTATTTCAATATTCTCTCTCTTTTAAGAAATGAAATGAAGCATTACATCATGTACAAAAATATTATGGATGACCTTTTTCTTTTTTATTATGTTTCTTTTCGATATTGAAATAACTTAATGAGAGATCTCTATTTTTTATATTTCAAAACCAATTCTGAAATGTCTATGTACTCTCCAAAAATAATACGCTTCCTAATTGGGCCATATTTCTTATTTGCTCTTTTTTTTTTAAGAAGGTTTTTTCTCTTTAGACTCGATTGTAACAATGCTTCATGCATGCCATTTATATAATGCTAAAAATTTGTCAATATAAGACATTGGTACGAGATGGAATATCTATAGCTAGTATATGAGATTTTATAAATCCCTTATAAGTCAGTAAGTACATCTTGAAATTGAGTTATCTTTTCAGATTGTCAAGTACAAGGATATGAATAACAGAATATGATGCATTGTTTATAATTTCCAACTTCTAATTTCTCCTCCTATTGTTGAGAAAATAGTCCAATCAAATTAACAATCAAAAAATCATGTTATAAAATATCAATCGTTAGGGCTTAAATATTTTATAAAGGTTCAAAATTAAGTTGTATCATCGGCATTCTTTAATATCCATCTCAATGCACTGCATTACAACAATAATACATATATTTCAAAAATATTCGATGGAAAACATTAGACTCTAACAATAAACCAATTAGAGAAATGAAAAGTACTATATTCTCAATAGTAATTGTTAAGAAATTAGTCAGCGACAATTAACAATAAATTTTTTAAACCATTTATCATCACTCGAATCAATATTTATCAAATGTTTAGGATTTAACTCACTAGGATTCACACGATACACTATCTCGATGGTATAATATGAAAATAACGTTCATAATTTAAAATTTGAATAGTACTTTAAGTTACGAAAATCTTGTAATCATCTGTTAAATATATCTTTGTGATACAAATTATATCCAAACGGTCAATGTGGGGAGTGATAAAACCCCATATATCATCCTAATTAATTTTTAAAATTATAAAAATTAAGCACAACTTTAGCTAGCTAGCCATCGTCTATAACTGATTTTCAATAAATAGTACGAGCATCATAAAAGAAATCATTGAATTGAATAATCTTCTAGTTTTTCAATTGATATGTATTTGAATTCTTAATTATTTTTTGCGTCATTATCGGTCAATGATAATTTAACCAGTCATGCCGAACATAAC